AGCACGTGGTAAATCAGCACTTAAAATTGTAATTAACAATTTAATTTGTGCCAGCGGGTGTCCAGCCTGGAATGCTCGCATACGGTGAAATTTACAGCGAGCGCTAACCATCTGAACCACCACGGCTCTGCAAAATTTGGCAATGAAAAGTGATGCAATCTATGGGGGAGGCATTTGTTCAGCAGTGGACTTTGAAAGGCTATGACGGTAATGTTAATTAATATGAGAGGGAGAAAGAGACAGAGAGATGTAGATGAGATTTGAGATGCTTGATTTCATATTTGTTTCCAGTTCTGTGCCAAATTGAGCAAAACACTAGTGGTAAAAATAAAAAAAAATTGTGAAAATAATTTATGCATTAACGTAGAAAAGACATGTTATATTCAATTTAGTAATTATGGAACATTGAATAATAATCTTAATATATATTGCAATGGACAATCTGTTAATGAAATGACTGAAACAAAATTTCTGGGAATATTATTGGACAAACATGTTAACTGGAAAGCCCAAGTTGAAACAGTCTGTTCTAAAATAAATAGCTACATTTTTCTTCTTAGCAGACTGAGAAGAATTACATCTCATGAAACTTTACTAACGGCGTACTATGCATACATTTATTCTGCACTCGATTATGGTCTTTTGCTTTGGGGTAACAGTACAGATGCTATTAAAGCCTTTACAGCCCAAAAGAAATGTATTCTAGCTATGAATGGTTTGTCACCAGATTCATCGTGTAAACCGTATTTTAAAAAATTACACATTTTGACGCTGCCATGTATATGTACATCCTAAATTTTTGTTAAAAGTAATATACTTTTATTCACAAAGCTAAAAAATACTGCACAGAGAAACTTGAGGCATACTGAAAGATTGTCACATAGTGTAATGCCAAGCACTAGCCTCTATAGGAAAAATTGTTCCGCTATGTGTATAAAAATTTTCAATGCACTGGCTACAGAGTTTCAATCACTCCCAAAGGTACGTTTTCGTAGGATTGTCAAACAATGGCTTGAGGAGCAATGCTTCTACTCTGTTGAAGAATATTTAAATTTTATGATTAGGATTAGGTATCGATATTAAAATGAATTAAGTAACTACTAGCATATTATTTTAATTAAATTAAATGTAATAAAATTATTATGATGATTTTGAAAACATGTTATTAATTTATTAGTTGTGAAAATGTAATTAATGTATTAGATAAATATTTGTATGTCAACATTATGACAAAACATGCTGGACTTAAATAATTTACCAACCTGTAATGTACCATGTTTTCTGCAAATAAATTATGATTATGATTATAATTACAACCGACTTTATTACGACCGAATCATTGTATTCGACGTCAATTAAATACTCATTATGAAATAGAACTCAAAAACTACTGGTCAGATCTTCATTAAATTTATATAGAACCATACGAGAAGCACCAGCTTTCAGATGAAGAAAGAATCATCAAAATCAGTTAACACAGAGAACATACAGCAACACATAAAAAACATACAGTCGAATTGAATACGTCCTCCTTTTTGAAAGTGGTTAAAATATTTCCAAGTTTAAATGCAGTTACTAATATAGGCGTGAGGCTAGAAATGTCGATTTTTACCGGGGATAAGTTATAAGTGAGTAAAAGAAATACTTGAAATATATTTGGAAACTATACCGTGTATAAATTATAAGCTTTTTGAACTGCTGTGTAAATCCAATATTTTATAATTAATGATTTCTTATATTTACTCGAACAATACACATTTAAATAAAACTAGTTTTTATCGATTTTACCTATATTATGTTCCCGACGTTTTGATCACTTTACAGCACCCATGGTAATTTGGGGGACTGAGGTGTTCGACATCCCAATGTCATAGTTAACCGCGACTACCTTCAGATAATTTTTTTTGAATCCGTAAAAACCAGTTTTATTTGAATTTCATAATTAGCTTTATTTTACATTTTTTTCAAATAAAAACTACGTGACATAACTTTCAATAAAGTGTACAAATCGATTTCAAGGCGAAATAAATAATTTCTAAATAGCATCTGTAGTCAAAGCTCAAATTATTTAGTAAGCAAATAATTAAAGCCAGTAACACTAGTAGGTACTAAGTGATGTCCAAGCACCGACTTACCGATTATTTTACCTTTTTTGATTGCTGTAAGTAATATTAACAAGTTCAAGGTAACAATTATATTGTCTAAATAGTTAAATTAAAACCTTCATTGCGTATTTTTACCGACTTCTAAGAGGATGAGGTATTCAATTCGACTGTATATTTTTTTATGTGTGTTACCTCAGAACTTTTCTCTGGGTGAACCGATTTTTGTGATTCTTTATTTATTTGAAAGCTGGTACTTCTCGTGTGGTCTTATATTTTATTAAGATCAGACTAGTACCTAGTTCTAGAGATATCCTTAAATAACGCGTATTGAATTGTCTTCGAATAAATTGATGATGTTCTCATTTTATTTGGATTGAAGTAACAATTTTACTAGGTACTTGTTAAAAAAAAGGAATTATTTTCAATATAGCCGTCTCTGAAAAATTGGTGAACATTAAAAAAAAACATATGCGTCGAAATGTAGAAACTTCTCGTATTTGAACTCGGTTAAAACTGCTGTTCCCCAAAGTATCTTTAAAATTATCATTGAGAAAAAGTTTCATAAATATATCTTTAGGTACTTAGTTAAGTATTCCCGTGGGGAATACTTAACTAAGTAGAGATCTTCTTCCGTGTGGAATTTATTATGATTGGATTTCATGCGATTTAAGTTATTTTTTTGCACGGGACCATAACTAAGTTACTCCTTATAAAATCAGCTATCTGCCAGTGAAAATCCCGTCGAAATCGGTCCAGCCGTTTCAAAGATTAGCCGGAACAAACAGACGGACATAAAAAAATTACAAAATTTGTTATAAGCTATTGCATAGCTTTTATCGCAGGCTTTGAGCGCGGCGACCGAATCAAGAAATTCCGTAACGAAAATAACCTAAGACCCCAAAACGTAACATCGTCTAACGTCGTTCCAGTTCTGCAGACTTCGGCACGGTGTTTGTTTGCGTGCGACTAGACGTATGCGTGTAGACTAGTTGCATGTATTGTAAGATAATAAAAATATTTTGTGCAATAATATAGATTATTGCAAGAAGCATATTCTTTGGATTTATATGAGTCGTCGTCTTGCTGGCAACTTTCGTGAATTTAGAGTAGGTACTTAATAAACACAGACTTTACAGAAAATTATCGTCTGTCGGAAGAACTCGTTAATTACCATAAACCTTTTAATATCAAAGATAAAAAACTGCATAAATAAAATCCTATACCTTTATACCAGCAATTCTTGTATATATAATCGGTATATATATATATAATCGGCATCAACACTATTTTCCTAATAACAACTAAAAATAAAAAAATTGCAATTGCCAAACCGCCAGCCAAGCGCGTCGATAAAACCGTGGCAGTAAAATCAATATCCTTATGAAGTGGAGGAAGTCTATGTAAGGTAGAGTAAGATTCCGATTATATATATATATATATATATATATATATATATATATATATATAATCGGAATCTCGGAAACGGAAAAAACTATTAAGTTATTTTTGCATGTTTTTTATACACTTCCCGAGGGATTCCTGAGCTTCTGAGCTTCTGACTTCCCGAGCTAAAAGATTCTCAAACAAAATTTAGGTTTGACATAGGGCCGATAACACTAATTGTGGATTTGACTGATGTAAAAAAATAAAATAAACCTATCATTAAATTATGTATTACTGCCTATAAGAGGTCTACTGCTGAATATAGACCTCCCCCATAAGCTGACCCAAAGGGAAGATTTTGCCACAGTTGCCACGCTTGCAGGCGGGTTGGCATTCGTTTTGAGATATAAAACTATTCTCTATGAGACATTTATGACAAGACTACATGTGTGGGCTACTAGTTGATTTCAAGCAAACGTGTAAGACAAATTGATAAGGATTTACTGAAGCGTTTTAACCATAAATATAACTTTTAACAACAAGTAAAAACCGACTTCAAATTGCTAAAAAAGAAGTTATTTATTTGGAACCCTTAGGGTTGGAACTTTTTCTCCAAATTCATATGGGACCACCCTAGAATATATTTACATGATATTTCGCTATAAAACATTTTTTCCATAACCTAGATGTAGTGCACTTTTATTAGGTTATCAAGGCATTAGATCACTTTTATGTCTAGCCCGGACAATACTTTTTCATTTACATTTTTTTCTTTAAAATATTTATATATAAATATATATATATACATATATATATATATATATATATATATATATATATATATATATATATATATATATATATATTAATTCTTTTTTTGTACTCAATATATTTATTTACTTTATTCTTCTCTGACTATTTATTTAAATTTAATTTCATAGCATTTTAGCTTCATATCTGTTATTAATTAAATGTTTGTGTTCTCTCACGTACACGGCTCGCATAGGTAGGGGAAGGTGGGGGGAAACCGGACAGAGGGTGAAACCAGATAGTTACTATTTCATTACCCCGCGTATAGCTGGCTCGTTCTAGCTAATAGAGAAATACGCGCGAACGCTTAGTCAGTGCTATTGCAAATGGCGGAGTCGGTAACATCTCTGCGCGTGCGTCTATAAACGAAAATTAAAAACAGAGGTAAGTTATCTAATATTTTGTTTTTTTGAAAGTACTATCATTAAGTTTAGCTATGTGCTATCATAAACAGCTGTATATTAAAAGAAGTAATACATATTTAAATTTCTAAAACGGTATTTGGTATCGCTATGAGTGTCAAGATAACCTGTTAATTATTACAATTTCAAACATGGTACCTGTGGGGTACAAGCGGACGGGGTGATTTCGACCATCCGATTTCACCCCGATTGATTTGTATGTAGGTCTTGTGGGTGTTTGTTTTACATCTTCTTTTAATTGCTATTTTCTTTTTACTTTTTACAGAGTAAGAGTGTCAGCATGCCACGAACATATGTGAGAAAGTCAAATAGGGTTCAATGGTCGGAGTCAGACATGCTTTTAGCTATAAATTCGGTGATGGAAGGTAGAATGGGATATCTTTTAGCGTCAAATACATACAATGTACCTAAAAGTTCATTAGAAGATCGTATAAAGAAGATAAAACGTGGAAAATCAAAATATGAAGTGTTCCGAAAGTGCCCTGCTACTGAAAAATGCGTCTTTACTGATGAGTTGGAAGGTATGTTAGTCAAACATATCAAAATTATGGTATCTCGACTATTTGGCTTGACTAAAACAGATTTGCGACGTTTGGCATTCCAATTAGCTGAGAGAAACAATTTAAACCATCCTTTTAATAAAGAAACCGGACTCGCTGGCTTAGATTGGGTTAGTGGATTTCTAAAACGACATTCTGAATTGTCGCTAAGATCACCTGAAGCTACATCAGCTGCAAGAGCAATGGGATTTAATAGGTCTGTAGTGTCATCATTTTTTAATCTTTTGGATACACTTTATGTTAAGCACGCTTTCAATTGCACCCGAATATATAACATGGACGAAACTGGATTGACCTCTGTACCAAAAAAAATAGGAAAAATTATATCGGTGAAAGGTAAAAAACAAGTTGGTGCACTAGCTTCGGCTGAACGAGGACAGTTGGTAACGGCAGTGCTTTGCTTTTCTGCAGCTGGACATTATATTCCACCTCTTATGGTTTTTCCTCGAGCACGAATGAAGAGTGAGCTTTTGGATGGTGCACCACCGGGCACAGTAGCTGTATGCCATCCAAGTGGTTGGATGCAACAACATATTTTCGCCGAATGGATGCGCCACTTTATCTCCTATGTAAAACCAAGAAAAGAAGATCCCGTGCTTCTTGTTTTAGATGGTCACGCCACACACACTAAAAACCTAGAAGCTATTGAGTTAGCTCGTGCGCATGGTGTCATGATGCTCTGCTTGCCACCTCACTGCACGCATCGCTTACAGCCACTCGATGTTGGTTTTATGGGGCCATTGAGCACGTTTTACTCGCAAGAAATCCAGTTATGGCTTCGAAATCATCCGGGGCGTGTTGTCACCCAATTTCAAATAGCATCTTTGTTTGGAACTGCTTATAATCGTGCCGCTACAATGCAAAATGCAGTGTCTGCTTTCGCCAAAACCGGAATTTGCCCTCTGAATCCCAATATTTTTACAGACGTAGATTTTGCACCATCACAGACAACCATACCATGTGTACCAACCACAAATGAAATCTCTCAGGATTCATTGCCGCGAGAAAGAACTCCATCCCCGCAAGCAGGAACATCTAAAGAAGGACAAATATTTCCAGATCCTATAAGTCTTGTATCGCCGAAAGATATCATGCCGATTCCTCATTTCAAAAAAACAATCCGGCCATCGACGCGTCGAGGAAAAACAGCAATTTTAACTGAATCGCCGTATAAAAATGAACTGGCTGGAAAATCTACGCAATCAGTTATCAAAATAAAATTTAAAGGCAAAGGTAAAGGTATCGGGAAAAAGACCAATAAAGAAAACAATCAAGAAGATTCGGAGTGTTTGGTTTGTGGTGAAAAGTATAGTCTAACTAAGTCCACAGATGAATGGTACCAATGCACTGCTTGTCTTGAATGGGCTCACGAAAGTTGCATTGGTTGTTCTGACCAAGAATTATTATTTTTTGTATGCAAAAACTGCGAATAATTTAAGTATTTTGTTTTATTGTTAGTATCTGTATTCACCCCTGTAATATAAAATGCCTATCCGGTTTGACCCATAGGTGTGGGGTGAATTCGGATTTGTAATTTTTGTTTAAAATTGTTCTAGTTTGTAGTAATTAAAATTGATCTCAAATATTTTCATACCAAAGTTATGCCTAAGGTATACTCAAACATTTGTGATATTGATTATCTCAATAAATAACATAGTGATTTATTTATTGTGTCTTTTTCTTAACTATCCGGTGTCCCCCCACCTTCCCCTACATACCTACATGATCATGACAATAACTAATGTCATTTCATTCACTTCTTTACATTTATAGCATTTCTGCTCATATTATTTATTATTTAATTGTACAGCCTACTTATCTAATAAAAAAGAAATCATCAAATTTGGTTCACAATCTACGAAAATATCGCGTAATACGTATACATAAAAAAAACATACACTCGAATTGAGAACTTCCCCTTTTTTGAAGTCGGTTAATTATTAAAACTATGAAATGGAAAAGAAAGCACTTGCATATTTAAAAGTATTTTTTATGGAATTTTTATCATTAGGCAAAAACCGGTGATTATTTTGTATAGATACCTATATCAGGAATCGGCTTACTCAATACAATTTCGTACAATTATTATAAAAAAGGTTCTCGAGTGACAGCCTCGTACCGGTAGCCGAGGTGTAGGGCGACCCCCCACTAGATGAAGTGACGACCTGGTAAGACATGCAGAAAGTCGATGGATGCAGGTGGCTCATGACCGTGCTTTGTGGCATTACTTGGGGGAGGCCTATGTTCAGCGGTGTTGTTGCTTGTGAAGCTTGTGAAGGGCTGATGAATGATGATGATGATGATTATAAAAAATTTAATTATTTAATAAAAAAAGAGAGGAAGTTTTTAGAGGTCTCACTTTTGAAAACGGTAGACTTGACGTACATTAGGACGTATAAATAGGCTATAAGCTTAAACTAAATAAAATTTTGATATTAAAAAATATTTTCTAAATAGTTTGTACAAAAATTATACCAACTCATGGTTTACCGTAAGTATAGGTATAAGCAACAATACATCACACAAACACCGAACGGTGCAAGCCAAAAATCATAAATTACAACCCCAATCCGGGGGCGTGTCGACCCGCGCCACGCCTCTGCAAAACTTAGGGGTGTTTTATGCCCCCAAAGTAGACAGGAGAGGCGGTTTGGCCACGACAGGGGTTTTGAAGTGCCTTCTATTCTTGTAGAATACAAGATTTATTACTAGATAGTCTGAGCGTAAGAGTTTGCTTAAAAATGCTGCTGGATTTGAAGCTATTTACATATAACCAGTAACAACTATTACTATTTAGACAGCCGCGGATTCGAATCCTGCACGGAACAAGTATTCGTGTGGCCTACAAATAATTGTCCAGGGTCTGGACATTTGTCCTTGTAAAATTCATGAATGTAAACTGCCATCACGATACAGGAGAAAATCCCGGTGTGTTACGATTTAATAAAAAAAAAGAAAAGAGATAAAATAATATCAAATGAGAGTAGGTACGTACCTATTAGGTTGGTACACTATAATTTAAACGAACTTTAGACAACGACGCTTATCGTAATTTTACATTACGCATGCAGCCAAACTTCCTATGCCCTCGAAATATTTTAGTTCTTACACTTGCAGGTTAATTGCAAAAAAAAATTAATTGGTGTCGGCAGGGATCGAACCTTAGGCGCTGAGCTACCACGGCTCTTTTGACCGTGGAATGTCTGAATTAGGAGAGTTTAATTTCAATTATTATAGTGTGTACAGGTATAAAATGATCCAATCACTATATTATGTATAAATAATTAAAATTTTAACATAACAAGAAGTGGTAAAATAAATAATTTTGTGCAACCGACTTCAATATAATTAAAATGAAAACAGTCAATAAAATACGCATTAGGTATTAATTATAACTCGAAACTACTGGTCAGATCTTAATTAAATTTATATGAGACCACACGGGACGTACCTACCAGCTTTAAAAAAAACAAAGAATCAACAAAATCAGAGAAAAGTTCCATAAAAAACATACAGTCGAATTGAATACCTTCTCCTTTTTGAAGTCGGTAAAAATAGAAAATAAAGTATCTTTTTATATTTGGTATTAGAAAGACAAATAGATTTATGACCTACGGTGACATTAGGGGCTGACCTGTTTACCTACGGGGTATTGCTATAGCATCAATCATATAAGTAACACATCTTAATCTTAATACATATAAATTACTTGTCACGTTGTTTTTCCGCGATGGACTCCTAAACTACTTAACCGATTTTAATCAATTTGCACACCGTGTGCAGTTTGGTCCAACTTGAGAGATAGGATAGTTCCCATGAGTGACACACAATTATTTTTTGCCAATTTAAGGATTTTTAATAGAGCATGACAAAGGGTCGTAATATATAAAATAGTAATATATATATATATATATATATATATATATATATATATATATATAAATAAAGTGTCACATTGTTTGTCCGCGATGAACTACTAAATTACTCAACTGATTTCAATGAAATCTCGCACTGAGTGCTGAGTGTGCAGTTTGGTCCAACTTGAATGATAGGATAGTTTTTATCCCGTGACCCTCATTTTTTTCTATTGCGAATTAAAGGTGTTTTTTAGAGGAAGTGTCGTCTGATACGGCAGCGCAATGTCTGCCTGGCAAGCTAGTATGATATAAGTGAAAACATCAAAGTATTTAAAAAAGTAAAAGTCTAAAGTTGGAGCTTTTAAAGTAGGGAAAATTTTTTTGGCTTCTTTAAAAACTTCTCTCAGTGGACTGTCTACAGTTTTATAATAAGTTTATAATCGATTATGGTGCACTTTATTAAATACACGAATTCAGTCGTAATTTATTTAATAAAAACATATTGAAATTTCTAAGTTAACAAAAGCATAAAATTGAATAACAAACACTAAGTAACTGTTTGATGACAAAATGTGAACGAATTGAAAAAATAAATTACCGCCGCGTCGGTGTTGTCAGTTCCTCAATTCATAATGATGCAACTACGATCTGGTATTAGTAGTGTTATAATAAATTTAACCCTTCAAGCGCCATAAAAATCCCATACAGTCGCATGCGCACGGCATATTCCGAGCGGTCGCATGCGATTGCACACACCCAGAGTACTTAAAACCATTAAAACTTATATTTAGAGACTACTACTCTATGAAGAAGTTTAGCATTATAAATTTATACGAAATTCTCTATCTTGTGGCCTAAACAAAAGTCAGGTTTTACTTCATTACAAAAAGATTTTATTGTATTTTGATAACAAAAAAAAAAAAAACATACGAAGCGAGTTTCGGCAGCGTGAAAATCACAATTCGACCTATACGTAGAACAAAGGTACATGTGAATATGGAACTAAATCATTATTATTGTATTTTTGAGTCTAAATAAACCTATTTATTTAACTAGTGAAATCATTTTTTTTCTTAAATTAGTAGGTCCGAAGATTGCAGTCGAATAATGGCACATATGGTTTTTCCCTCCAAAGAACAACGTTACGATTTCACATGTGTCACTAATCTCTGTCGGCATTGGCTCAAAGTAGCCGCGCGCGCAGAGTCATATATTCAATCGCGCCTATATTCTGGGGAAAGACGGTTGCGCGCACGTCTGTTCTGTACACAGTTTTTTTACGTATTGTAGAATTATAATAATAATAAAGTTTATGTATTTAAAATAAAAAGTACACGTTCTGAACATATGTTAAGTCTACTATTAGGACCGTTGGATAAAATGAATACTGCATCTGATCCTGCGGCAAAAAGTTATGAACAATTGGATTTCTCAGGTAAGTTAATCTAATATCTTATATTAATTGTTATATTTTGAGTATAAAGATTAGTTTAGCATAATTATTTTTTTATATTTCTTATTAACAAAAGTTTTATTCACAACAATAAAGTTAAATGATCCCATGAGCACATAGACCTTTATTCCACATAGAATTTACCTTTTCTTTAATAACAAAAAAACAAATAAAAATTAAGATGAATTTATGTCTATTAAATGTTTAATAAAATTTTATGGTTACATTTTAGTATTAACAGATGTGGTTATATATTCGAACATATTATGTTATTCCTCAGAAAATTACGTAAACAATGCTGGTCTATGCACACATGTCACTTTGTTGGGGGGAAATTATTTTGAAACTATATGGTCTATGTGTAAATGTAACTTTATTCTTCGTAAGAAATTGAGATATATCTTTTTCCAACTCAGAATTACCATGAAAGCCTGATAAAAATAATCTTATTTTTAGATTAATTATTTATTTAGGACTACTTATGATTAATATTAGTTATTTATTTGGTTTGAGTGATGCAATCTTTGAAATATATTTATTTTTGTTTTTAGAACATAACGTGGACAATCGCGCAGTTATTCCGCAATCGCCACTGCCGCAAGAAGCTGAGAACATCCATCAAGATATGGCTGAGGTATGTGAGGACGTGTTCGGTCCACCACATATTCCACCCTACGTTACCTCCGACAAAACTGGCCTAAAGTCACTGCATGCAGTTGAAAAATTTAGAGACATCAAATCTATCCCATTAAAGCCTGCAGATAGCGAAGAACCTTTGGCAATGAAAGTACCTTCCAGTTTTGAAAATTCACCCGAAATCGGCTTTGGAGACTTGCCTTTGGTTTCAGCACCTAATGTCCCGACTCCTGTGCCTTCGCCATAGAACTCACACGCAGATTGCTGTGATTCCTTTAGTTCTATCTGTGAGCATTGGACTCAGTCGCCTTCAGCTACTAACACATCTAGTGCACCTAACAATTCTAGTGATGATGAATGCTCTGCATCAACCAAGAAAAGAGTAAAGAAACGAGTACGCCGTACATCTGAATGGTCAGACGTCAAAAGAAAGTGCCTTAAGAATATCGGTAAAAAATACGTAACCAAAAAGGGAAAGATAGTCTATGACAAAATTTTAGATGTACCATGTAAATGCCGGTATCAGTGCTTTAAAAAGATATTCATGACCAAAGATACGATTGTTTTCAGAAGTTTTGGAGTTTAGGAAGCCGGGAAAAACAATGGTCTTTTGTAGTGAGGTACTCTAAAAAGGATCAAAAGAATAGATGTTTAAATCGAGAGGTACCCAACAATCGGAAATGTACATTTAAATACTTTCTGCCAGTATCAACAGCCAAATCAAACCTGAGCCAGAATGAAATGGTTAACGTTTGTAAGACTATGTTTTTGAACACGCTGTCCGTTAGTGGCAAAATTATTAAAACAGCTTGGGATAAATATGATGGCAGTACTATTATAGAAGAAGATAAGATAGGACGCCATGCAAACCACTATCAAGTAATAAAGCCTGACACGGTCAAAAGTGTGTGTGACCACGTTAGATCCTTTGCTCCAATTGAATTACACTACATCTGCAAAACTTCGACAAAACTTTACCTGGATGGCAGTCTCAGTATCTCAAAGATATTTTAGCTATATAAGGAATGGTTTGATGCTTCGATTTATTCGAGTATGTCTGCTACTGAGCGACAATATCGAGACATTGTCAATAAGTATTCTAATTTGGGATTCTTCATTCCCAAAAAAGATCAGTGTGATACTTATCATGTTTTTAGAAACAGGACTGATCATACTGACCAAGAAAGACTGGATTATGAAAAATATTTATCCCATAAAAATTCATATCGTAAGTTAAAGGATCTCGACAAACGTGATGCCATTGAATCAAATGGTACAATACTGGCAGCAGGTTTCGATTTTCAAAAAGTTTTATCGGGTTCTCATGGTCAGGTTAGTGTGTTTTTTATAAGTGAAAATTGTCTTGCTTGTCTAAGCAAAGTAAAGTCTTTCACCATTTTTGACATGGGTAGAAAGAGGGCAGTTTGCTATATGTGGGATGAGACAGTGGCAAAAAGAGGGGCAAATGAAGTAAGCAGTTGTTTGCTTGACTATATAGAGAAGAATGTAAGAAATGGAGTTACAGAGTTCAGGTTTTGGTCGGACAATTGCGCCGGGCAAAACAGAAATCGTTATGCGTCCTTTCTCTATGTTTATTCGGATTCAAAGTTTAACGTGACTATAAGACACCGGTTTCTCGAGAAAGGTCACATTCAGAATGAAGAAAACAGTGTGCACGCTCTTATTGAACGAGCAGCCGAGAAGAAAACCATTTACACTCCAGACGAATGGCGTTTGCTTGTTCACTGGGTCAAATGCACAGGAGATCCCTATGTAGTCCGTAACATGACACAAAATAATTTTTTTTGAGCTAAAAGGTCACGTAAACAACAAAGTCTGGTGCAAAAATACGGAAGGCGTAAAGATTTCATGGAGCCGTGTCAGAGAGGTATTTGTAGATAAGTCAGAGCCTAATAAGCTACTATACAAATATGATCTCAGCGAAAATCATTATTTTAATGTTTTAATACGCTCAAATACACGCAATGCACTTTTCTCTCTAGAACTGACGTACAAAAGACCTATCAATTTACCCAAAGATAAATTTAAGGATCTCATTAGTTTAGTCGATTCTCGAATAATACCTTACCAATACGCAGATTTTTTTACCTCTCTGCCAGTGAGCACAAATAATATTAGCATTATCAATAGCGATAGTGAAGATGAATGATTTATTATTTTTAATGCTCAATCAACAATGAACCCTATTGCTGCGGTTAAAATTTAACTATAAAAGGAGAATGCGCTTATTGTTTTTATTTTCATTCATTAATTAGTATTTACACTATTTCATATTTGGATATAATATAATTTTATATGTTTGTGCATTGTGAAACTGTCACGTCTAAGTTTTATGTTTTAATATAATTAAAAAACTTTAAATTTTAGTTCAAAGTTATATGTCATACTCTCGTATTAGTTACCTACTTAAATTGTTATCGATTTTTTTATTACTATTTGTTATAGTTCCTGTAAAATAGGTTAGACGCCTAGTACTTAGTATGTTGGTTTTGTAATTTTTGATTATTTTGTTCTTATTTGTTGATAATAAAGTTTATAAGTCTAATACACATTAAACATTATAGAAATAAGTGACATTTAGTTACACACTGAGAACTATTGATCAATAAAACCTTAATAACAAAAAAAAAAACCTTTTATAATTTACTTAATTAGTATATACCTTTTTATCGTTAAGACCTTATGGTTGTGTATTTACTTATAATAAAGACATATGTGCGCATTTAACCAATAATTTTCCGAAGAACAAGGTTATGTGTCTATATGTGACCTACAGACATCCACAATAAAACGTCACATATGCATATAGGACAGGCTAGATTTTAAAATACAGTTCTTTAATTAACGATTTTAATGAATATCCATGCTTTATTATAGTCTATAGTACATACCAAAAAACTAATTGTCTAGTTTAAAAAACAAAAATGTTAGAGCGAAAATTGTGCAAGACTGTGTTCAAATCGCTCTCCTGTAAAGTAAAGGTTTTGCAAATGTTACTTTATTCTACGGATAGGTCGAATTATTTCAATGTAATATTACTCGAAATTATTTACGTAAAAAGATAAATTATATTCACACAAAAAATTTCGTTACAATTTTATAATAAAACACCATACTAAAACACTAGAAAAATCTAATAATCAACACAATAACATTCACGCGAAAATGGCGTACGTAATAAACGTAGATTATAAATAAATATTCACAGGATAACAGTTTTTTTTATTGCACTGGAGGATAGAGTATTTCATATTGATTATATAATGCCAACCTTCTTCAAAGAAAAGTAATCTCTATTATCGTAGTTTTCCTAGGTTAAAGTACCTACTGTGGGTGGGTGCGACCTCATGAGACCGCTAGGGATTTGACAGAATATGGCCGCGGTCTCTTGAGACCGCTGGGGGTTGAGAGGTTAATGAGATATTTCTTAAAGAAAATATGAATATTTGAGAATAATTTAATTGCATTGTGTATGCAAAACTCCAAACCCATTGCACTGTGATTTTTTTTATTATAGAATAAATGGTACGTGGATGCCACATATAGCTGCAGCGTGGCTCCACCAGGTAAGAGATGTAAATATTAAAGCAGTAATCTACCAAAATAAATGCAGCTTCTTTAATCTTTGGTTTAGTACCTATTACCTACCTAATCGCCTCACATTTCGTGTTATCGAAATGTTTGGACAAATCAAATAATGAATACTGCACAGCTGAGTATTGGAAACTTGGATTTTATTTTTATCTCGTAATAAAAAACATATATGGACCGTAAATCGCACGTCACATAATTATTTAAATTACATGTTTTAATATAATTAGTATAATCAGGTGTTCGTTCAATGATTTATTATTGGGTGCGTTTGGCAGAAAAAAGCGCTAGCAAGCGCTTGTAAGCAAAATGGCGATCGTAAGCGGTAAGCGCTATCAAATCGTAAGTAGCTATTTTCCTCTAGGACACGAAGTTAGTTTTATACGGGGAACCTAACCTAATTTAAATATATGTTTGTAAAGTGTTCATATTAAAAAATTACCAATCATGAATTTTTAATAACATGTATATGTTTATTCACGTCATTATATTACTTAAAACTAATATTGCACAAAACAACTTATAAATTCTAATTCAAAACAAACAAACTAAATAAGCAAAATGGCGGATTGTGTCAGCGCTACTGAAATAGCAATCGTGTCCCGGCCGAAAACTATTTCAGCGCTATTAAGCGCTTGCTAGCGCTTTTTTCTGCCAAACGCACCCAATATTATATTCTTATATTTATATCAGAAAGAAAGAAAGTAAATGGTAGTTACTCTACACTCTATTGTGAAAAGTCATAATGTGTCAAAAAAGGCACGTATGGTAATTCACAATGCTGTGTTGGTCCCTACTTTAACGTATGGTAGTGAAAGTTGGGTGTGGCAGAAGAAGCACGAGAGTAGAATAAATGCAGTAGAAATGCGGTCGTTAAGAAGTATGTTAGGGCTGAATCTGAGTGACAGAGTGAGAAATTGTGTGATAAGAGTTTGGTTTGCTAGATGATGTTGTGACCAAAATGAAGAAAGGAAAACAGGAAAGAGTGACAAAGCAAATTAATAATGCAGAAGTGAACGGAAGAATCGGAAAGGACGTCCTAGGCGAAAGTTTATCGACCAAATTGATGATAGGTATATTGAAAATGGGTCAATATATATATATATATATATATATATATATATATATATATATATATATATATATATATATATATATATATATATATATATATATATATATATATACCTACCCTATTTAAAATTACAATTAACAATTACATTGGTCGTCCGGAATCGAACACAGGTTGCACGCGTATTGTTAAATTTATAGTAGCGCTTAGCTCCTGAGCTAATTACCTAATTATCCTATGCTATACCTTTTAATCCTATACCTTTAAACATATATATATATATATATATATATATATATATATATATATATATATATATATATATATATATATATTCGAAATCTCGGAAACGGCTCCAACGATTTTCATAAAATTTTGTGTCCAGGGAGTTTCGGGGGGCAATAAATCGATCTAGTTAGGACTTATTTTTAGAAAATGTACTTTTGTCCGTGTTTTTAGGCAATAAAAAAACTGCTACAATATAAGAAGGTAAATTTTGACAGATCAATAACGATCGTAATAGCTCAGTTGGGATGTCGGTCGGGCGCGATATCGGAGTGCCT